TATATATATATATATATATATATATATATATATATATATATATATATATATCAACAATGAGAAAACTGAATGCAACGGCCAATTTTAGTTTTGCTTCACTAAATACATTGAAGTCAATAAACTCCTAACGATTTAGGAGGATAAAGAAGAAACCAAATAATCAAATAAACAATATAAAGAGCAGCAATACGGGCCGCAGTAACGAGTGAACACTGGGAGTGCGGAGAGTTAGTACAATCGGCACTGTAGCTTTGGGGAGAGAAAAGTGGAAAAACAACCTACTTATAAGAAACTTTGCAGAAGTAGAGGGAAAACCCGGAATATAAAGTCACGAGGAGTTGTAGAAAGTATACTGGCAAGTTAGAAGTTCTAAACAAATTTCAAGTTTGGAGGTAAGGTAAGCCTGAAGCAAACTTGGAATGCACAACCATCACAATCCCAGACACAAACGTGGTATGCAGAGATATACATAAAACCTAAATGAACTGAATGGTTATAACAACATTTACGTATCTCCCGACAACTATGTAAAGTAATAACTAAAACGACAAAGAACTAAACGACAAACTAAAGGTGTTGAGAAGCTTATCAGCAGGAGAAGAAGACGAAGTTATCTACTTAGTGTGTCAATAATATTCCTCTAACTCTTAACCGACAAGCAGCGAGAAACCACTAAGGTAATATTCAGAATAATAGTGTGAAAAATACGGGAGTAATCTCTGAACCCCCTAGGAACGAATAATGAAATTCAGGAGTTTGAATTTCCTGTGGGTAAATCCCAGACGTCTACTAAACACCTAGGAAATACATGTCTAATCATCGAAACATGGATGTGGAAAGCATATTTTAAAGATAATTTCATTACCCAGGGTACCACACATCTTTCCGAAGATGTGTGGTAATATAGGTGTTGGTGTAGGTGTAATAATGTATCTAAAAGAGGACTGCATTCAGCAATGAGGAAATTTAACATGAGATGTTATAAATTTGTATGGTGCAAAATAATAGCTAAAAACCTTAGAAAACTGACGCTCTGAGTATATCATAGACCAGACAACACGAACGTCAGAGGACGTTAGAGACCATCTTGTGAAAAAAAGATCTTGAAGCCCAAGCTCTTATAATGAAGATTTTATCAACAAGACAAAAAATATTACGTAAATCTTACATCGCAAAACAGAAAGAGACAAATATATTAACTAAGTACAGGGCACAATATCACACAGCATGTGACTGAGCCCATCTATGGTAACAACATTCTTGATCTTGTGTTAACACCAAACGAGTCATGATCGATCAAATCATTGAGAAAGAGAAGCTTACCCTTCGTGAGACCATTATATTCCGAGAGGGAATATAATTATAAAATCCCATATAAAAGTGAAGGACGACGACTTGATGACAACCTTAGGGGAGACAATAGAGGAATGAGAGAGTAATCGCAAAATACCTCCCACAGACCTTCTTGGGCTCTACGGCAGGTGACCTATGGGAGGTCATTATGCCAAAGTGCCCTTTTTAAGTTAAACGAAAAGTAATTTTTTTAATGAACGTAAAGGTTAGGGATGAGTAAACCTGAGTCAACCGAAATAAAATTGCAAAAGAAAAGGTACATATTAGAGTGGGTGAATATAGCTCTCTCTCACACACACAGAAGACAGAAGAGGATTGTTTGAGGCTTCAAGAAGAACTAGGCAAGCTGAAGGAATGATCGAACAAATGGTTGTTAGAGTTTAACCCAAGCAAATGTAATGTAATGAAGATAGGTGTAGGGAGCAGGAGGCCAGATACAAGGTATCATCTGGGAGAGGCAATTCTTCAGAAGTCAGAGAAAGAAAAAGACTTGGGGGTTGATATCAAACCAGACCTATCTCCTGCAGCCCATATCAAGAGGATAACATCAGCGGCATATGCCAGGCTGGCCAACATACGAACGGCATTCAGAAACCTGTGTAAAGAATCATTTAGAACTTTGTATACCACATATGTCAGGCCAATCCTGGAGTATGCAGCCCCAGTATGGAGTCCATATCTAGTCAAGGATAAAACTAAACTGGAAAAGGTTCAAAGGCTTGCCACCAGACTAGTACCCGAGCTGAGAAGTATGAGCTACGAGGAGAGACTACGGGAATTAAACCTCACTTCGCTGGAAGACAGAAGAGTTAGAGGGGACATGATCACCACATTTAAGATTCTGAAGGGAATTGATAGGGTAGATAAAGACAGGCTATTTAACACAAGGGACACACGCACAAGGAGACACAGGTAGAAACTGAGTGCCCAAATGAGCCACAGAGATATTAGAAAGAACTTTTTTAGTGTCAGAGTGATTGACAAATGGAATGCATTAGGAAGTGATGTGGTGGAGGCTGACTCCATACACAGTTTCAAGTGTAGGCATGATAGAGCCCAATAGGCTCAGGAATTTGTACACCTGTTGATTGACGGTTGAGAGGCGTGACCACAGAGCCAGAGCTCAACCCCCGCAAACACAACTAGGTGAGTACACACACACACACACACACACACACACACACACACACACACACACACACACACACACACACACACACACACACACACACACACACACACACACACACACTCACACACTCACAAACACACACTCACACATAGGGAACGTCAGAGTGAGAATCATCAGAATAAGGCAGACAAGGAGAGCAGTGTTGAGAGTATACACACTAACGTAAAGCTTTGCTTCTCCAATTCGTCCCATTTTGTGACAAAAAGTTTCCTGCATACATACGAATATGCATAGATGTAACCCGCCTAATTCACATCACCTCGAGATGATGGTTCTCTTTAATCTTCAGCAGAGCGTCGGACTCCCGTCTCGTGAGGTTATGTTTGATGCCGTTTAAAATGGTTTTCTCAAATTCTCTACAAAGCGACTCTGCTTGGTAGTGGAGTCCTGACATTTTTATCCAAGGATCCATTTCCACCCAAGCAGGGTGCATATTTCTGTAGGGAGAGCGAGAGAGAGAGAGAGAACTGGAGAGCGTGCAGAGATCCTTTACTGCTAGAATTCACTCAGTAAAACATCTAAACTATTGGGACCGACTAAAGAGCCTAAAACTGTACTCCCTTGAGCGCAGGCGGGAGAGGTACATAATAATTTACACGTGGAAAATATTAGAGGGGCTGGTCCCAAACCTGCACACAGAAATAACATCACATGAGACCAGAAGACATGGCAGGATGTGCAGAATACCCCCGTTGAAAAACAGAGGTGCAACTAGTACTCTGAGAGAGAACTCTATCAACATCAGAGGTCCGAGACTGTTCAACACGCTTCCACTACACATAAGGGGCATAACTGGCCGACCCCTCACAGTGTTCAAGAGAGAACTGGATAAGCACCTCCAAAGGATACCTGATCAACCAGGCTGTGACTCGTACGTCAGGCTGCGAGCAGCCGCGTCCAACAGCCTGGTTGATCAGTCCGGCAACCAGGAGGCCTGGTCGACGACCGGGCCGCGGGGACGCTAAGCCCCGGAAGCACCTCAAGGTAACCTCAAGGTAGGTAAGGGTAGGGAGGGAGTGCTATGGGTTCTTCACAAGGCATGTGGTTGTTCGCAATTTACCACAGTTGCCTCCTGAGCACTTCGAACAAGTCTCATAAGTCGGTTATCGATTTTCCCTCATTATTCAGCTGGTTGGACCCTTTACAAAGGTTGGATATTTATTTTATTGCAGATGGAATTTCTGCCGAAGACTAAAACAAAAATTGCATCATTATCAATGCCAGCATGAACACAGATAACAAAAACAATTAGAGTAACAACAATGAAAGTATTGAAAAATTCAACAGTAGCAATACTAGCAGTGACGACAACAACATCAATTTCATCAACAACATCAATTACAACAACAACAACCATGACCACGAAAGCAAGGACAACAGTGAGTGTAAAAACAACACCAGTGATGGCAACAGCAACAGCAACAAAGGCAGAATGTCGATGATAGTATAAAAAGATAAACAAAGACAGCCACGTCAATGTATAATAATGCCAATTGAAGCAATAATTACAAAAACAACAATGACTAAAACAAAAAGGCCAGCAACAACAATGCCATCTCCAGTGACAAGAAGAACAGTGGCAGCAACAACAGTGACGACAGCAATAACAGTGACAACAACAACCGTAAACGTTACAATGTCAACAATATTGACAGCAGCAACAACAATAACAGCTACAGCGACAAAAACAAAAATGACAGCAAAACAGTAACGGCTACAATGATAACACCAACAGTGACAGCAACAACAATAACAGCTACAATGAGAACAGCAATAATGAGAGAAACACCAGTAACAGCTACATTGAAAACAACAACAGTGACAGTAGCAACAATTAGATCTACAGTGGCAACAGGTACAGTGATAGCAACAACAATAACAGCTACAATGACAAGAACAGTGACAGCAACAACAATACCAGCTGCATGAAAATAACGGTGAAAGACACAACAATGACAACAACAACAACAGTGACAGCAACAACAATCCCAGGTAAAATGCAAACATAATGATGCAGTGCAACAATAAAAGTGGCAGCAAAAACAATAAGAGCTACAATGACAAAAACAACAACAGTGATTACAAGAACTACAATTACAACAATAATAACTGCGACAGTGACAACAACAACAGTGACAACAACAACAGTGACAGCAACAACAATAACAGAAACAGTGACAACAGCAACAATTATATCAACAATAACAACTACAATTTTACAGTGTTTCAGTTACAATGACAACAACAGTGACTGCAACAACAATAACAACAACATTGTCAACAACAACAATAACAGATACAGTGACATCAACAGAGACAGCAACAACAACATAGCCAGCACCAGCAATACCATCTGCAGTGAAGACAACAACAACAATACTGTCTTCAGTGTCGACAACAACAACAACAACAACAATACTGTCTTCAGTGACAACAACAACAATACTGTCTTCAGTGTCGACAACAACAACAACAACAATACTGTCTTCAGTGACGACAACAACAGTAACAATATATTGTTAAATATCGTCTTCAATGACGACAACAATAACAATTTCGTCTTCAATGACGATAGCAAGAACAATAACATCTTCAGTGACGACAACAACAACAACAATACCATCTTCAGTGACGACAACAGTTACAATGACAGCAGCAAAGACAGTAACAACAAAACAGCGTCAGAAAATGTTGTATGTTGTTAGAGGGCCACCTGTCACATAGTTGCTTCTGATGTATAATACTTTACGCCTCAGAATACCTTATATGCCACTAATGTGTGTCATTCAGTACTCACCTCAGGATTAGGGCTCGATTCGGCGGTCGTCAGTATACGACTTGGTATATGTTAGACAACATGGCGTTCCACCGATTCCACGGAGAATTTTGGTGCATCTACTGCAGCGAGTCCAAGGTTTACATATAACCTCCAACACTCAGGTGAAGGTAAAGTAGTTCATCAACTGTTCACTCCAGCTTCAAACACACACAATATTTAGTAGCTTACCTCAAGTCGTGGTACTGGGGCTAAGGTGCGCGGCTGGGAGTTCCTTGAGCACTGGATCGAGTCAACTCATTGCTCCAAAAGAATTTCTAAATATGAATGGTCTCCTATTGTCCACAATTGAATATAGATATATTTTAAATTTATACGGACAAAAATTTAGAATCTATATTAAAAGAGTCACATATATTTAAGTATGTAATACATTAATATTCTATCAAAAGTAGAACCAGAGTAATGAAGTAGAAAATCAGCTTTGATCTTTCAACACCAGGTATACGTTTGTGATGCCTCCAGACAATCAGTGGGGCCTCCAGCTGGAGAACGGGACCTGGATAGGCACGATTGGCATAGCAAGCAGAGAGGTAAGTTCAGAATTATGTCAATGTGACTCACTCGATAATATATATATATATATATATATATATATATATATATATATATATATATATATATATATATATATATATATATATATATATATATATATATATATATATATTTATATATATATATATATATATATATATATATATATATATATATATGTCGTACCTAATAGCCAGAACGCACTTCTCAGCCTACTACGCAAGTGTCGGGAAACCGACCCACACAACCACACACACACAAATAACAGTCTCCCCTAGTCTATACTCCCTTCAGGATGGAAAATGGGAGACTCCGTGACGTCATCGACTCCGTGACGTCATCGAAGTCATCGTATATTTACATTATGAAACATTGTTAATAGACTAGTTTAGTCTCTAAAGTTAACAAAAAAGTATTCAATAAGACTGAATATAATTATTTACACAGTATTGTAGCTAGGTTCCGTTGTTAATGTAAAATTACTTTGAGTGAGGAACCAGAGCATAAGGGCGTTGCCAGGAGGAGGAAGGCGTCCATATACACAACAATAACATAGCAGCCGACCACGCTGTATTCGTTAACTGGTGTAAACAACTAGACACCCCATTTACGTGTCAACACCAGCAACACAGCCTAACAACATCACAACAACGACTGTATCCGTCTACCAAGTATTGTTTATTATTCTAGTGCACTGTTTAATACTAATTAATGGGTAGATGGTTAGGTCGTGGGAGAAACCCAAAAACACCGTACGTGTACCCCATTACAACCCTCACAGTTCATGTCATACCTGTAATTGATATGTTTAAGGAACTTTGATTAATTCCTTGCATCCCATACAGGTAAATTGTGAGAGGAGCAGCAAGAATCTGTGCAGACAGTTGGTTCATACACATAATTAACTACTTGTTTGCCAAGCCTTGTCCTTCCCACCAGCCGCCATTACGTGGCACAAAGAGGCAGGGCCACACCCATCTTGAGGCTACACCTACACGCCTTACTAGGCCCATTCTACTGGCACAGCTAAGACATTATTTTAGTAGCAGTAGTTATAATTAATTATTATGAAGTAGTTTAGACCACCATATGTGGTACACTGTATAATGAAATAACTGAAATAATAGATTTAAAGGTAAACAATTGGTAGTTTAAGAAGGAGCCATAACAAAGTGGTTTAGGCTACCAATTGTCCCTCCCAATAGTGTGTAAGAAGATTTCAGGCAGTTTACCAGTACATACAGTCCACTTAATTAATTCATACTTACTAAGAAAATAAATAGGACATAACTTTATTTTATTAAATCAATTTGAAAAAGAGAGATTAGCTGCCTGGAATTTCCCCACAGCAAGGCCCAATAAGCCAAGTTTTCATGAATTAATTGTTTTTCGACTACCTAACCTACCTAACCTAACCTAACCTAACTTTTTCGGCTACCTAACCTAACCTAACCTAAAAAGATAGGTTAGGTTAGGTAGGGTTGGTTAGGTTCGGCCATATATCTACGTTAATTTTAACTCCAATAAAAAAAATTGACCTCATACATAATTAAATGGGTAGCTTTATCATTTCATAAGAAAAAATTAGAGAAAATATATTAATTCAGGAAAACTTGGCTTATTAGGTAAATCGGGCCTTGCATAGTAGGCTGAGAAGTGCGTTCTGGCTACTAGGTACGACACATATATATATATATATATATATATATATATATATATATATATATATATATATATGTCGTACCTAATAGCCAGAACGCACTTCTCAGCCTATTATGCAAGGCCAAATTTGCCTAATAAGCCAAGTTTTCATGAATTAATTGTTTTTCGACTACCTAACCTACCTAACCTAACCTAACCTAACTTTTTCGGCTACCTAACCTAACCTATAAAGATAGGTTAGGTTAGGTTAGGTAGGGTTGGTTAGGTTCGGTCATATATCTACGTTAATTTTAACTCCAATAAAAAATAATTGACCTCATACATAATGAAATGGGTAGCTTTATCAATTCATAAGAAAAAAAATAGAGAAAATATATTAATTCAGGAAAACTTGGCTTATTAGGCAAATCGGGCCTTGCATAGTAGGCATAGAAGTGCGTTCTGGCTACTAGGTACGACATATATATATATATATATATATATATATATATATATATATATATATATATATATATATATATATATATATATGTATATATATATGTACGACATATATATACATGTCGTACCTAGTAGCCAGAACGCACTTTTTGGCCTACTATGCAAGGCCCAATTTGCCTAATAAGCCAAGTTTTCTTGTAATAATATATTTTCTCTAATTTTTTTCTTATGAATTGATAAAGCTACCCATTTCAATATGTATGAGGTCAATTTTTTTTATTGGAGTTAAAATTAACATAGATATATGACCGAACCTAACCAACCCTACCTAACCTAACCTAACCTATCATTATAGGTTAGGTTAGGTAGCCGAAAAAGTTAGGTTAGGTTAGGTTAGGTTAGGTAGGTTAGGTAGTCGAAAAACAATTAATTCATGAAAACTTGGCTTATTAGGCAAATCGGGCCTTGCATAGTAGGCTGAGAAGTGCGTTCTGGCTACTAGGTACGACATATATATATATATATATATATATATATATATATATTCTGGCTACTAGGTACGACATACATTTCATTATGTATGAGGTCAATTTTTTTTATTGGAGTTAAAATTAACGTAGATATATGACCGAACCTAACCAACCCTACCTAACCTAACCTAACCTATCTTTATAGGTTTGGTTAGGTTAGGTAGCCCAAAACGTTAGGTTAGGTTAGGTTAGGTAGATTAGGTAGTCGAAAAACAATTAATTCAGGAAAACTTGGCTTATTAGGCAAATCGGGCCTTGCATAGTAGGCTGAGAATTGCGTTCTGGCTACTAGGTATGCTACCTAGCTACCCCCCTATATATATATATGTCGTACCTAGTAGCCAGAACGCACTTCTCAGCCTACTATGCAAGGCCCAATTTGCCTAATAAGACTAGTTTTCATGAATTAATTGTTTTTCGACTACCTAACCTACCTAACCTAACCTAACCTAACTTTTTCGGCTACCTAACCTAACCTAACCTATAAAGATAGGTTAGGTTAGGTTAGGTAGGGTGGGTTAGGTTCGGTCATATATCTACGTTAATTTTAACTCCAATATTAAAAAATTGACCTCATACAAAATGAAATGGGTAGCTTTATCATTTCACAAGAAAAAAATTAGAGAAAATATATTAATTCAAGATAACTTGGCTTATTAGGCAAATCGGGCTTTGCATAGTAGGCTGAGAAGTGCATTCTGGCTACTAGGTACGACATATATATATATATATATATATATATATATATATATATATATATATATATATATATATATATATATATATATATGTCGTACCTAGTAGCCAGAATGCACTTCTCGGCCTACTATGCAAGGCCCGATTTGCCTAATAAGCCAAGTTTTCATGAATTAATATATTTTCTCTATTTTTTTTCTTATGAAATGATAAATATATCCATTTCATTATGTATGAGGTCAATTTTTTTTATTGGAATTAAAATTACCGAAGATATATGACCGAACCTAACCAACCCTACCTAACCTAACCTAACCTATCTTTATAGGTTAGGTTAGGTTAGGTAGTCGAAAAAGTTAGGTTAGGTAGTCGAAAAACAATTAATTCATGAAAACTTGGCTTATTAAGCAAATCGGGCCTTGCATAGTAGGCTGAGAAGTGCGTTCTGGCTACTAGGTACGACATATATATATATATATATATATATATATATATATATATATATATATATATATATATATATATATATATATATATATATATATGCGAACAAGCCTGAATGGTCCCCAGGACTATATGCGACTGAAAACTCACACCCCAGAAGTGACTCGAACCCATACTCCCAGGAGCAACGCAACTGGTAACTACAGGGCGCCTTAATCCGCTTGACCATCACGGCCGGACAAAAGGAAGTGGTAGCCGAAGCTATTTGAACCACTTCCCCGCCGGCAACTCGGATGGTAATCTTGGGCATAGCATTTCACCAAATCACCTCATTCTTTGGGGCACACGTGAGGAACACAAATGCGAACAAGCCTGAATGGTCCCCAGGACTATATGCGACTGAAAACTCACACCCCAGAAGTGACTCGAACCCATACTCCCAGGAGCAACGCAACTGGTAACTACAGGGCGCCTTAATCCGCTTGACCATCACGGCCGGACAAAAGGAAGTGGTAGCCGAAGCTATTTGAACCTTTTCCCCGCCAGCAACTCGGATGGTAATCTTGGGCATAGCATTTCACCAAATCACCTCATTCAGTATGAGGTGATTTGGTGAAATGCTATGCCCAAGATTACCATCCGAGTTGCCGGCGGGGAAGTGGTTCAAATAGCTTCGGCTACCACTTCCTTTTGTCCGGCCGTGATGGTCAAGTGGATTAAGGCGCCCTGTAGTTACCAGTTGCGTTGCTCCTGGGAGTATGGGTTCGAGTCACTTCTGGGGTGTGAGTTTTCAGTCGCATATAGTCCTGGGGACCATTCAGGCTTGTTCGCATTTGTGTTCCTCACGTGTGCCCCAAAGAATGAGGTGATTTGGTGAAATGCTATGCCCAAGATTACCATCCGAGTTGCCGGCGGAGAAGTGGTTCAAATAGCTTCGGCTACCACTTCCTTTTGTCCGGCCATGATGGTCAAGCGGATTAAGGCGCTCTGTAGTTACCAGTTGCGTTGCTCCTGAGAGTATGGGTTCGAGTCACTTCTGGGGTGTGAGTTTTCAGTCGCATATAGTCCTGGGGACCATTCAGGCTTGTTCGCATTTGTGTTCCTCACGTGTGCCCCAAAGAATGAGGTGATTTGGTGAAATGCTATGCCCAAGATTACCATCCGAGTTGCCGGCGGGGAAGTGGTTCAAATAGCTTCGGCTACCACTTCCTTTTGTCCGGCCG